AAAAAAAAAAAAAAAAAAAAAAAAAAAAAAAAAAAAAAGTTAGAAGTTGTAATACTTTGATGTTGGTATCTTTTGTGCTTTAATTAAGATATATTAAGACTCATGTTACTAAATTGAATACCAGCTGTACTGATTGGTAAGTGATTTTTCCATATTAAATCATTAAATGAAATAAGATTGTAGATAAATAAAAATTTAGAATGTTTGATACCACTCCTTTTTAAATATAATGCAGATAACTGGGAAAAATAATGAAACATCTCCCCTCCCCCATTTTGTGAGATCACACATTAGTACATGTTCTTGTGCATTTTCTTTTTTGTTGCTTTTTAATAACAACTTGAATGGTAAAATGCTCTGTGAACATATTCCTGTTTAATAAGGTGATTGTCTCAGCACTGACTGCTTTTTAAATAACAAACTAATTCTAACTTCTCTACCCTTTTCTTCTTTAAAGCTTGGGTTTTATTATCATGTTTTCTTATGCTTTGGTGAATTCTCTTTTTTATTCCAGACATGCTGGTGTGTATACAGCAGAAGAAGTGGCCCTGATTATGCGTGAGAAGCTGATTCGTTTGCAGTCTTTGTACATTGATCAGTTTAAACGACTTCAACATCTGCTTAAGGAGAAGAAGCGCCGGTATTTACATAATCGCAAAGCGGAACATGAAGCTTTAGGCAAGTTTTATGACTGTTCCAGCAAGCTATCACGGATTCAGCATGTGAATTTGGTAGTAATTAGATTTACTTGTCTGTGTCTGGAGTGGGAGACAGTTGCTTTTTAAAAAATTTTCTTTCTTTCTGGCACGTGGCCACTACCAGGATGTGAACCCTTTGAACTTGGTGTTATTAACACTTTGCTCTAACTGACTAAGCTAACCTGCCAGCCCTTCTTTTGAAACTGCCTATCTCACAGCAAAAGATTTCCTTGTTTACTTCTTGTTAATTTGGAGAAGTGTCCTTAATGGGTTCTTTGGCAAATAATATCTTGATTCTTGTAACTCTCCAGGTAGTAGTCTCCTGACTGGCCCAGAGGGACTTTTGGCCAAAGAACGAGAGAACTTAAAGCGATTAAAATGTCTCCGTCGATATCGCCAGCGCTATGGAGTGGAAGCCTTATTACACAGGCAGCTGAAGGAACGCAGAATGCTGGCCACAGATGGTGCCGCCCAACAGGTAATTTGTGTATATACCTCAAGTGTATGTGCATTCACTTTATTTTCAAAGTTGGGATAATTGTCAAAACACTGTATCCAGTCCTGGCTCTGAAATATAATTTAATGGACTTCTGTTGTAGTGAAAGTACTTACCTGGAATTCAGGAGACATGGGTTCTAGTCTCAGTCCTCTACTGAACAGCTCTGTGCCTGAACAAACAGCTTAACTTCTCTGGGCCTCAGTATTCTCATATGCAAATTGAGGGGTTGGGATAGATTTCTAAGTTCTTCGGTTCAGATGTTCAGTTCAGAAATAGGCATAGGTTAAGTCTAAGTTGCTTGGGAATCTTGTTTTAAAAGATGGGAAGATAGGTAGAATAGGAGCAATTCAATGTCAGGAAATAGGGTTGATAGGAAGAAGAGTTAATTGATCATTCTTAAATTTGTTTCTCAAACCCACCCTTGATCTGTGCTTCAGTAAGAGTAATTTCATTTTTATCTATTTTATTTGTTGAGGCTTAAGTTTACAATTAAACCATGAGGTTATATCATACTTTTATAGTGTGGAGAGAGGTGTGTTTGGGATTAGGGTTGGCTCATTTTTAATACATGAGGTTTTACATGCTTTTTCTTTTCCATAATATTGGTGAATCAGTTTGATAAATGTTTAATTTTCTAGCCTTTAAGGATATGCTTTAAAAAAAAAAAAAAATATATATATATATATAATTAAGTATTCTCATCATAATTGGTTGTATGTGGGTCTGTCTGTTTTATCGGTTTTCTTCATTTTAGGCCCATACCACTCGTTCCAGTCAGAGGTGCTTGGCCTTTGTGGATGATGTTCGTTGTTCCAATCAGTCTCTTCCAATGACCAGACACTGCCTTACCCGTATCTTTTTATTCTGCGTGTTTGGGCTCTGATTTGTTAACTAGATGAGTGCCAGTGGGAATCTCTGGGCTAGTTGAAGTTTTTTGTTTTCCTTTGGCCCTGAATCAAGACCAGCAGTTTGCTGAAGCTGTTGGTTTCAAGCAGGAGCCTAAAGAAATGTCTTTCTATGGTCTGTTGGCCATTTCAGAACTTTGGAAATGTAATGGTCAATTCATTAGAAAGAAACATCTGAGTCATTGGTTTTAGATGTGGGCTAATATTTATATGTAATCTTAGTATTGGGAATCTAAAATATCTATAAAATGTTTATATTTATCTCTAGAGCACTGATTAACTTGTTTGTTAGAATTATAATGCCTTTAAGTCTAATTATTACCAAAATTATTGTAGGTTTTCTACACAAAACAGAAGAATGATTCTGTACTGTGAACTTCCTCTTTGTATTAACATTTTGCATGTCAGGGGCCTAGCTTGTATATTTTAAACTTCATTCAAATCAGAGACTGTTTCCAAAAATGGGGTACTTTTTTCCCCTCCTTTTAATTAATTTGCCTTTGAACCATCTTTTTTTTTTTTAAAAGATGACCGGTAAGGGGATCTTAACCCTTGACTTGGTGTTGACTTGGCAGCAGTCACTGTTAATAGCACCACGCTCACCCAGTGAGCAAACCGGCCATCCCTATATGGGATCTGAACCCGTGGCCTTGGTGTTATCAGCACCACACTCTCCCGAGTGAGCCACAGGCCGGCCCTGAACCATCTTTTACCATTAGGCTTGAACTTTTAGTTTTTATTGGACTGTGAAAGTGCCCTCTTTATTGTGGACGTTGAGAAAATTACTTTTCACAGTAAAAGCACTTGTTAATTAAATATGATGGTCTTTTTATGAAAGACATACATTTTGCTGTATTTCATTTGCCTGGCAAGAGATACCAGATATTTGGAAATTAAAATGTATTTTCTTTAATAGGAAGAGGAGGAGGAGAAGAACCTTCTTAGTCTTTTGACAGAAAAGCTGATTTTTTTCTGTTCTGTTTAAATTTTTTACCAATTTATTAATTATTACACATCTGATGAAGGATTACTGTCCTTAATATATAAAATGCTTGTTCAGAGTAATTAAAAACTCACGATATAAATGCTTAAAACATAATTGGGCAAAGGCTATCTGGACAGATTTAAAAGAAGATAGAAGTGGCTGATAGTTGAAAAGTGTTTATCTTCATTATAAATAAATAGGAAATAAAACAAGGAAATTTAAAATCTATAAGTTTGCTATTTGTACGTATACTTCTATTTTAAAGTAAATTTTAAAATTATGCTATTTGTTGTTTTAATGACTGCGAATGAATTGCACTGTCTAAGTGGTTATTAATCCCATCCAATGTAATTTTTTATTTTATGTCATATTTTTTAATCTTTAGAAGCCTGATTTATATCTTTTGAAATGCTTTTCCTTCCTCACTTTATTACATTTACATTTTTACATTCTTGAGCATATTGAACATATTTATAATGCTCATATGTTGATAATGACCCATCCAAGTAATATATTTGCATTTGTTTTAATGTCTTTATCTGTGTCCGGCAACGGATCGCAACCCTCAGTGTCGCCCCCGTACCGGACCGGGACCGGCAACGGGATCGCAACCCTCGGTGTTGCCCCCGCGCCTCGCTCAGCCAGTGAGCGGGAACCGGTCTGTATGTGGGATCCGAACCCTCGACGGGAGTGCTGCCGCGCTTCCCAAGCGGCGCACTAGCGCAATGCGCCACCGGGCCGGCCCGGTAAACAGTCACTTCTAAACATTGCCAGTGGGAGTATAAATTGTTAAAACTTTTTGGAAAGCAATTTGAAAATACTCATGTTCTTTGATATGGTAGTTTTCACCTCTGGGAATTTATTTTAAGGAGATAATCAAATGCAGATCAATATTCTTCCAACCGGAGACATCCTTACATTTTTTAGAAATGGGGAATAGGGAAGTAAATTATGGCATGATGTAATATGGAATATTTTCAGGAATTAAACACATTTAACTAAATTTATGAAATATAGGAAGATGATAGTGACAAATAGGATATGGAATCCTGTAGAGTATGTTTTAACTGCATGGAACTAAATACTGGGAGGAAGTGTAACAGAAATGTGATTTTTTTTTTTTCACTGTTTCTTCATACTTTTTTTTTTTTTAAGGTGAACTGGAATTACTTTTATGAGGGAAAAAAACCAGTTTACAGATATTAAGGACTGTTTTAGACATTTTTTATAATACTGTACTCAAATAGTTTATTAGAATATAAATACAGGTATTTTAAAAAGCAAAATTGAAAACGAAGTGTATTTGAAAAGAGAGGAAGTATTTTTTTTTCCTTTTCTGCTCTTTTCCTTTCCACTCCATAGTTGTTTGTCACTTACCCTTCCTTAAGTCTTTACCCCAGAGAAAGATGCGACTGCCATTGGTGACCTGTTAACTCTTTACTCTGGTCTAATGGAGACAGCACTGGACTGAAAGTGAAGGACCCAGACTGTAGTTGTAGGTCAACCATTCCCCCCCTTTTTTTTGTCTTTGTTGTCCCCATTGAAAGAAAAGGGGGTGGAGGAGGATGGCGGAAGGGTTTTTCTGTGGTATTGTGGTATTAGATAAATAAGGAACTTTTGTGAAGGGCATTTGGATTCCATCAAAAAAGTTGATTGAAATATTTAATTTAATGGATTAACATTTTAAATGATAAATAAGATTGGGCTTCTGAAGTACATTAGATATTGCTTACATTTTCTTAAGCACATAGAGAGGGCAAATCTGATTGTTCCCATTAGAGTCATATGTTTATTCATTTGATTATTCAGTAAATATTTGTTTATATTGTACTATCTACTATTCCTTTAGAGTAGTGGTTCCCAACTGGGGGCCATTTTGTCCTCCACTTGGCAGTGTGTGGAGATATTTTTGGTTGTCATATACAGGGATAGGTTGGAGGTGCTACTGACAGCTAGTGGGAAGAGGCCAGTCATGCTCCTAACCATCCTACATCCAACAGAGAGTTACCTGGCCCACGATGTCCATAGTGCCACAGTTGTGACACTCTGCTTTAGAGTTTAGCTATTTCCAAGTATGGTTTGAAAGATACAGCTTTATTCAAGAAGGTTTATTTGCTTTAAAAAATTATAATGTTCATTAGATTTTTTTAATTTTTAAAAATTATCTTAAAATTTTTGGGATAAGAATTACCCACAGTTCCACAATCTTGGTATAATCAGTTTATAAGAAATTGTATTTTCTGGTTAAAAATAAGTCCAAGTTTAGGCCAGCCCGTGGCTCACTCGGTAGAGTGCGGTGCTGATAACACCAAGGCCACGGGTTCGGATCCCATATAGGGATGGCCGGTTTGCTCACTGGCTGAGCGTGGTGCTGACAACACCAAGCCAAGGGTTGAGATCCCCTACCGGTCATCTTTTAAAAAAAAAAAATAAATAAAAATAAGTCCAAGTTTAAAATAACATTTACTCTGGGGAAAATAAAGATGTAATTAAGATTTTAAGAAATGGTAACACTTGCATAAAATGTATTTTGTAGAGTAACTTGACCTTGAATTTTATTTTATCTAATCATTTCAATTTTGGTTCATCCTACAGACCTGCTTTGCCAGCTTGGAAATATACCCCTTTTCTGTTTAGTAGAAGTTGTTATAAAGTGCTCCTGGAGTGCTTCTTTTCTATGGGCCTTCATAAGCAAAATTATCTTCTTCCTTTTCTTTAGGATCATAACAGGACTCCCCTTTATTACCACCCCTGCAAAAAAAGAGAAAGGCATGGAAATTTATTTTTATTTTCTGTCAGGATAAAATACCTAGTGACTATTACTAGAGCTTTTATTTCCCCAATCCTGTGCTGCTTTAAACACATTTATCATGTAATCATCTTTGGAAACAAGGTCCAAGAAGTTTTTGTAAACTGCCAGTCTTCTTAACAGAGCAGAAACCACATTGGTATCTCTTGACTATTGGGAGAGGTTGATAGTGGCTTCTGCAAACAATTTGCATTTGCCAAGACATGTTTCTTCTGAAGACATGTATGCTCCTAGGAGTGTTATTGCTACTTGCTTAGCACTGTCATATGGAAGAATAGGATTAGTGTCTCTAGTTTAAATGACCAGAATCCTGAAAAAGGAGGTTTAGGACTAATTTTAAATTATAGGTAGAGCTAGAAATAGATGCTAGAAAATGACACTTATCTTGAGAAATAATTTTAAAAATTGCTAACTGCATTTGGTTTTCTTTATTAAATGTAGCTGTAATTATCTTGTGTAGTTCAGACCTTGAATTTTACGTGGTAGGCAATTCTATTGTATTTTGTACCTCCGATAGAGCCTTTTTATTTCCCTTGACCATTTTTCTACAGATATTTGTCAGGATACGAATCAGGTTCTCTTCAAATGCTGCCAGGGGTCTGAAGAGGTACCCTGCAGCAAAGCAGTTCCTGTAAGCCTCTCTGAGGATCCCTGCTGCCCACTGCACTTCCGGTTGCCTCCTCAGATGTATAAGCCCGAGCAGGTACTGTCTGTGCCAGACGATCTGGAAGCCGGCCCCATGGATCTGTACTTGAGTGCTGCTGAGCTTCAGCCCACTGAGAGTTTACCTCTGGAGTTCAGTGATGTAAGTTAGAGAAGCTCTGCTCTGGTTGGCACTTGAGACAAGGTCTTATTTATTAATGGTGAGAATAGATTAGTCTTTTGTGGTCAGGAGAGTTGATGAAGTTTTTGAAGTGATGTATGGCTGTACTTATATGTTTAGTATATTCATTTAGAGACTTCTGCTGTACCTTATTTTTTTTCCAGGCTTTTTTTCATACATTTTTGAGAGAGAATCTTCAAGGAATACTCTTATGAACATTCATGTACAGGTTTTGGGGTGGACATATTTTCAGTTCTACAGTTTTCTCTGCTTGTATACTTAGGAGTAGACTTATTTTTTTAAACCACTAATTTCATTTAGACAAAAAGCAAAATTCTTGTATTCTGTCACCTGTCCATATTGAACTTCTAAAACCACTTACAAATTTAAATTCACAGAAGTATTTCTTTTTCGGAGGGAGTGATAAGGGAAATTGTAAAGTAAGGGAAGTTGGAAAGGCAAGATGATGGTTGGATTTGGTGTAGCCTAGAGATTTGGTACCCATCTACAAGGTGAGTGATTCACTGGAATCTTTAATGAATTCTCATTTCTGTAGAAATTAACTCTTGACAGTGTAAACTTGTGTTTTGCCCTGTATAGTAAAGGTTTTCATTTTCAGATTGTATCCCCCAAGAAATGACTACACTTGGCTGTCACTTCTGTCTTCATTTTTGATGTGTTCTTACAGATTCTGTCGTGAACTTATTAGAACAACAGTGATCTCCCCAAGTATTTGCTCTTACAGCTTTCTAAGTATACATTCTACCTTTTTCAACTTGTTCTTCAATTGGTCCCAGCCTCATAAATTCATCTCTGATTTTATTTGTTTCTCTAATTAACACTAAGCTACTTTATTAAAAAAAAAGTTTTTTTTTTTAAAGATGACTAGTAAAGGGCCGGCCCGGTGGCGCACTGCTACAGTGCGCCGCTTGGGAGCATGGTGGTGCTCCCGTCGAGGGTTTGGATCCCACATACAGACCGGTTCCCGCTCACTGGCTGAGTGACGTGCGGGCGCAGCACCGAGGTTTGCGATCCCGTTGCCGGTCCCGGTCCGGTATGGGCGCGACACTGAGGGTTGCGATCCATTGCCGGACACGAAAAAAGACAAAAAGGAAAAAAAAAAAAACCAAAAAAAGATGACTAGTAAGGGGATCTTAACCCTTGACTTGGTGTTGTCAGTAGCACGGTCTCCCAAGTGAGCGAACCAGCCATCCCTATATAGGGATCTGAACCTGTGGCCTTGGTGCTATCAGCACCACACTCCCAAGTGAGCCATAGGCCAGCCCTAGCACTAAGCTACTTTAGAGAGCATTTGGCATTTCATCTCTATCTCAGTACTTTTGCTTAATCTTTAGTCTTTTGAAAAAGGTCTTTCTTACTTTTTCTGAAGATAAATTTACTAAATCTTAGATCAAAGTTGTCTTATATGTAACCATGACATGTTTACAATGGCAGATGTAAATGGAAAGTTCAATATAGGTTGCAGGATTGTTTGCTTAAGTGTAGAAGCAAGGTTTGGGTGACCTCAAGGGTCTCTCTCACTAAGAAAGATATACCAGTACACAGTAAGTTCTGAAAAAGTGGTATTGAGAATTGAAAGAAAGTGAGCGGAGATGCCGGGTACTGTTCAAGCTTTATTGAAGGAAAAGAATCTGCCGAGCTGTGCTCAAAGTGGCAGGCAGCCTGGGGCTGCCTTCAAAATGGAAGAAAGCATCAGGTGTGGAGGTGGTAGAGCTTATGTAGTGCCCCAAGGGCTGGCTGATACCATCAAGGAGGGTCATTATGCTAATGTGGAAACTATGCGACCAGGGTAGAGAACTGTGCTCTTCTAGAAGCAAAAGGAGGCTTCTCCTAAAGGGAAGCAGGGAGGGGTTTGGTGCTGGAGTGGAAGACAAGGCCGGCTGCTGTTTTGTGCTTATTGTGTGCACAATGGCGCCGGTCACGTCCAAAATCCATCAAGAATAAACTGATTCCAATTATTTTTCCATAATTTCTCCCTTTTTAAAAACTGATTATATACAGTCTACAGGCTTATCAAACTTTTGATTTTTATGACTTCATTTATAAAAAAATATATAATTTTTATTATAATCTAAATTATAATTGCTTTTTAAAAAGTTTCTGTTATAGATTGAGGTCATGTTGAAGAGAGTAAATGAATAGATAACCCTAGACTGATGAGGACAGATTTTTTCCACTTCATTTTTTATATATATATATATATATATATATATACACACACACATATATATATATATATATATATATGTATATATATGTATGTTTTTTTTTTTTTAAAGATGACCTGTAAGGGGATCTTAACCCTTGACTTGGTGTTGTCAGCACCACGCTCAGCCAGCGAGCTAACC